ACGCGTGCGAATAAAACAGGTCTCCACTGGAGCGCTCGAACTCACGCTTGAGCGCGAAAACACACCTCCCAGTATTTGTGCAGACAAGCCATACTATTGAGAAAGTGCATCCTCCGCTCGAGCACAAATGTTCCCACTCGAGCTGAAAGACCAAAACCAAGGAAAAATTACAACTCTATAAAACTGAGTTTGTTTGCGGAATTGGCAACAAGTAGGGACCTAATAGAGGGTAATAATAAGAGACGAGAAACACTGAAATTAAATGGGTTGGATAATAAAGAAAGAAGTGTTAGCTTATGAAATCTTGGCGAAACAAGATTCATCTAATTGGTCCTAAGTAGTTTAGACAATGCAAAGTTGAATTTAGTTAGTTCCAATAATAACTACCGCAAGACTGCAATATATCACCTATTTTTCACCATTTTAGATCATTGTCCTACATGAAAAGATATCATGTGTTTGCATTAATTACTTAATATTATATTCAAACAAGGGGAACTAATCATAAGAATCCATGTAGGCAACAGTGCAAAATGGTTCATACAAAATTGGCGACATATAGCATTTCTCTAACTACCAACATTTTTGTTTTGATCGGCAAAAGTCAACTATTCGTTGTTAAATTAACACCTATGAAAATTAGCCTCTCCATCCTTGCAAAGCACTAAGTGCTTGTCTCTTAATTCATCCTTGGGAGAGTTGAACTCACGACCTCTCCCTTAGGACTAGACCCTTAGGAGAGTTATGGTGGCCAACTACCATTGATGTTCCAAACACCACTTGCGAATATAACGATACCTCATGCACTAGATTTGTTATAATGTTTTACTACCTTCACTTACTAAGTTACACGGACGCGGGTACGGGTGTCGGGTGCGGGTGCATATCTAAGGGTCGGACACTTCAAAATTAAAAATGAAGGATACATGGATATGTATCCAAATTTGGATACGGATACGGGGATACGTTAAATAGTTTGTTTTAAAAAAAATATATTTATTATATGAAGATGAGTTATATTATATAAATAACAAATAAAAATTATTTTAGATATAAAATAAATTATATTATATATGATAATGTGAGGTACGTCCACGGGATCGAAATCCGATTCCACTATCAACCAAATAATTCCAAACGATTACAAACGAGACACTAATGGTCTCACAAAACACCCTTAGGTGAATTCCAAATAATCACAAATAAACAAAGAGGAAAGACCTCACCAAATAGAAGAACCAAAATCTTCTGAACCAAAGTTGAAGAAGATCCAAAATAATAACCCAAACCAGCTTTACCAAAGCTCCCAAACAAAGATGCACCAACTTGAATATACACCCAAGAATGAAAGGAACCAAGTACATCAATGTTGCTGTAGCTTCATTCAACTTCGGGAAAAACCAAATTCATCATCACGATTTGCTGCCTTCGGAAAACTAAATAAGGAGGCAGCCCTCTGTCCTTTTTTTCTCTTGGGAAAAATAATACACCAACAAAATTGTGAATCTAGGGTTTTGTAATCAAACCCTAATTATATCCAAATTGAATTGGGTCTCCTCAAATATAATATATAAAAATACATTATACTAAACCAAGCCAAATTAAAACTCTTTTAATAAATCAATTGGGTCCCACACTCCAATAAGGAGGTATACCCAACATGTGTCGTGTCAACACGGGTACTTCGCCCCAAAATGCCAAGTCCATGTAACACAGTTCACTTATCTCATTCATCCATAATGGATTTCATAGTTTGTTGTTTAGAATATTGCGAGAAATCTTCTAAAATAGATTTGCTAAAAAAAAAAATACCTATAACATAAAACTAACATATATTTAGGTCTTAAAAATGTGGTCATGCATCATTTTGATCCACATTAAGTTGGAAACATGTTGTATCTGTTGGTCGGTGTATGTTAGTTTTGTCGGTGTATCTGTTGGTCCCTCACCAACAGTTGTTGGGTTGGTGCTGGCTTATGTTGGCCTTTTCATTATCCCCCCCCCCTCCTCCTCCCGTCTTTATTGATGTCTCTCTTCCTTTCTTGTAAAGTTTTCCCTCATTAATAAAGTTTTTGTGTTTGATCAAAAAAAAGTTGGAAACATGTTGTAACTTCAGATATTCAAAGTTCCAATTCAAAAACCTAATGTTGGAACCCATTAATTAAAAGTTTGTTTAGGTATTCTATATATGAAAATTATGTATGCCTACAACATGAGAATATGTATTCCTCATAACTCATCCTAAAACATAGTTTCAATTGAAAATATGTAACACATAAGTTGCATTTTGACACAGAAAACAATCAAGGTACAATTCAAATAAACAAAAGGGAAACGTTACAATTAATAAATAAATAAATAAGAGGAAAGCTTGTATGATGCTCTAGTAAATTCTATTCATCGGTTGTGTCTTGGCATTCTCCATAGTGTGGGAAAATTATATTGTGCTCCTGGAGCAAGTACATTTGGTGCCCCAATTTGATTGGTATTGGTTGAAACAATGTGTCCTAGCACTTTTATGTTTCTTCTCGGGAGACAAATGGACATATTTTCAACAAAGAATAGTGTGGAACAATACTCTAATACCACCAAATAACCCCTCCTTTATAGGAATGTAGCAATAATGGAGAATGCCAAACACAACCCTAGTACTTAAGGAAAAGCTTGTTGATTTAATTTGAATGCAATGCATGAACAAGAGGGGTCAAGTAATGACATAATAAAGACAATTTAATGTAAAAGAATTGTGGAGTACAATAATTTTTTTTTATCAGCAAAGGAATTTTTTTATTAACGGAGTACAATATATACAAAGTCTTACTCTATTTTTTAAAAGATTGTTTTCGTTACTCAAACCCACACCACCAAAATGCTAACCGAAAAACCTTAGCCTTCGAATATAAGCAATCTCTCCAAAAAGGGGAGAGAAGAATTAGGAAATCAAGCTCAAAGGATTTAACCAAATCTTCATGATTTTTGAGTTGGACTACAACAGTTAACCAAGGGAAGAAATAGTTAATCTAGTTACACCAAAAAGGATGGAGTTTTAACCTAGAGTTCCATGACTTCCCTCTCTCTCTCTCTAGGGAACTGTTTGGAAAGACAATTATTCAAGTGAAAGGACATGGGTCTTAACTCACTGAAAATGTCACAAGGAACTGTGATTTGGGACTGCAATGGTTGTATATCTAATTCCACCAAATGTTTCCATGGGTATGGGATTTTGACCTTCTCCATTTTATAGATTAAATAGAGATTTCATTTCATTTTATGATGTTGCAATAGATTATCAAAATTTAAAATCAACATCGTCTATCACATCATTGTAAGTTCAAAACCTCCCCTTTTTTTACTTAAAATAAAGATTTAACTATGTGATTTTTTTTTTTACTACTATTGATCATGAAATGTAGATCTCTATTTCACCTAAAAATAGAGAGAATCTGAAAATTGAGAAGTTGAAGAGCATGGACTTTGAAAAGCATAAAACTGAACAGAAGATTAGTACAATTAAAATGTAATTAATGGCTCAGTTACCATTGCCAACTGACCCATATGTCAGTGTCCCACTTTATTCACACTTATCTCCACCGTATACTCAAATTGGAGTACAATTTTCTTTTGCCTACTTTTTTCACTCACAAACCTATGTATGAAGTTCAAGTCTCTTCTCACATGGACAATATTTTGAACCCCGACAAACATAAAATCCAAAGTTTTAAACTCAATGTATGAATCCACAGTATACCCTTGAACAAATGTAAAGCAAAGTTTTTTAGTGTACATTCCTCAATTATGATGTGATGTACTTCAAATTATGACGCAATGTGTTCAAAAGTATAACTGAGTCATATTGAGCCGTAAATTTGTAATCATCGTTTAAAAATTGATATCAAGATACGATCATATATCAATTAATATCGAACAATATATATCAGTGAATAACATCGAAAGTTCAAAACCCTGTTACATAACAGTCGATATTTAAAATCATGATCTTAAAATCCTGTTACATAACAGTCGATATTTAAAATCATGAGCCTAATGATTCAATGTGATTGTTATTATAATTTTGACTATATCACATCTTTACAAAGATCGCAACGCATTATGAAATGAGCACAAAAAAAACACAAAACCCATGAAAGACATTGGACCCATTTCATGAAAATCAATCAAAGCTTATTGTTGATTAAGGTAGTAAGTAGTTTCTAACAGATATCACTAATTTTCTTTCACATCAAAGTGAATGAGAAAGAAAAGGCAAGAAAGAGAGAAAGAAAGAAGAACGGCAAAACATATTGATGAGGTTGTCTTAGAAATGCCAAAAATAGTTGTAAGATTGTCAGTTCCCTAGTGAACAAAGATATACTTCTCAGAAACAAAAGTAGATCTGATTCAACACGAGAGAGAGAGAGAGAGAGAGAGAGATTGTCAAAGATCATGTAACCCTTGGGCTTAAATATGCATAACTTCAGTTCAAATGCATGATATTACCCACAACATTTTTTGTAAAAATTTTTATGGGCAAAATAAAGATTATATTGATGCAAACTAGAGGTGTGAGTTCATCTATGAAATTGTTCGCTAAACCAACAACATTTAGCTAAAAACTCAATCTTTTTACAAAAATAAATAAATAAATAATGAAAAATGTGCATAACTTCAGTTCTTTTTTTTTTTTTTGAACCAGATGCATAACTTCAGTTCAAAAGCATATTACCCACAACATTTTTTGTAAAATTTTTTATGGGCAAAATAAAGATTATATTGATGCAAACTAGAGGTGTGAGTTCATCTATGAAATTGTTCGCTAAACCAACAACATTTAGCTAAACAATTTCAATCTTTTTACAAAAATAAACAAATAAATAATTAAAAATGTTCTCACAACCTAGGAATCACCAAAAAATCTACACACAAACAGAAATACATACCATCAAAAAAACAATTCAACACATAGATATATATATGTATATATGTATGTATATAAATCATACCTTGAACTAGCAAATTCATAGAGCTTTCCCCTAGGAGAGAAGATTATGAGAGCAACCTCAGCATCGCAGAGAACCGAGAGCTCAAATGCCTTCTTCAGAAGCCCATTTCTCCTTTTGGAAAAGGTGACTTGCCTGCTTGTAGCGTTCTCTATCCTCCTCATCTGAGTCTTCCCTCTCACCATATCTCCACACACACAAACAAACCTTTCAAGAAATCATCAAGAAAACAAAAAAAACCCATCAAAAATCTTCAACACCCACAACATAAACAGTGAAGAACATCAAGAAAAACAATACTGTATATATATATATATATATATATGCGTGTGTGTGTATGTAACGAAAGAAAGAGATCTTACAAAATAGGCAAAAAAACCCAGAAAAGGATTTAGGGATAATAGGGGTGGGTTGAGGTGAGGACAATAGGGCTAAATATGGGAAAAAACTGATTTTAGGTCTGATACTGATGAGAACAGGACTACCAATAATACCAAAAAAAAGGTTCTATACAGAAGGCTTATTTTGGGAAGATAAGGGGTGTTGGACAGCAGGTGAAGTGGGGATAGAATGATTCTTCAGTCTTTTTTTGGCTTACAATCAGTGGAAGGGTAAAGACTTCACAAGCACATGACACACCCAACTTTCCTTTTTCATATACACAATAATCTCTCTCTATCTTGTTCTCTCTTTCTCTCTCTCTCACTAACTTTTCTCAACTTCTTAAAAAAAAAAAAATCCCACTAGGAATATCATCCATTGCTTGTTTTGGCAAACGCAACGAACAAAGCCAAAAGAGAAATATCAGATGTAAAAGGAAAAATTAAGGAGAGAGACTTTGGCTACTGTCCAATTGGAGGGGGTAAAAATGTTTCCAAAGTTGGGTCAAGGTTTTGTTGTTGTTGTAATAAAGGAAACTTACCATTAAGGGTAGATTTTGAAAATTTATTACACATTAATAAAAAATAAAAAATAAAAAATAAATTGATTTGAATTATTTGTATTTATAATATTTATTTTCTTTAAAAAAATTCCTGATACTATTGAGGTATAATTTTCCCTTGTAATAATATTTGCAATCATGTACTTGTTTTTGTATGTAATTTAATATTTTGTGAAAAAGTAAAACAGAAATGTTATACACAAAAAAATGCTATACATAATTAAATTTATTATTTGATTTTTTTATATACACTGCAACATATAAAAGTTTTAAAAACCAAATATTTTAGTCTTTAAAAATGAAATTTTTGTTACAAAAGACATTTAGGGTCAATTTCTATCATCAGGAGGATAGTCGTTAAAAGATCGTCCCGAAAAGTTAAAAATAAGAATTTTAGCGATAAAATTTTAAAAATGTCAGTAATCAGGGACAAAATAATTTGGTCTCAAAAGAATTTATTTTTTTAGAAAAAAATTCGGTCTTAAAAGGATAATAATTCATCACTAATATCTAATTTTTGTTGTTATAAAGATAATAACAACAATTTTCGCAACAAAAATATTTCGTCCCTAAAAGATAATTTTATCTCTAAATTTTCTAAAATTTTAATTTTTTGTAGTCATAATTAGGTACAAATGTAGCTCTCCAACACGTATTTAAGCCTATTTTGGGGAGTGAGTTAAAAGTCACTTCCCAACTTTTAATCTATTTTCCTTTCTCACAAAAAATTTTAAAAAATTCAAAAATTAACTTTTAATCATTTTCTCAAAACATTCTTTAATATAGGACATATGTCTTTCCCAACAAATGTTGAACTCTCTTTACGCATATTATTATCAATTTTTTGATAAAAATCTTCTTTCTATTTCTCTCTCTAATGCAGTTCAAATTTCATTTGTATTTGATATTTTTAGTTGGAAAAAATACTTGTTAAATTTTGATATTCTAGATATTGTAATAAAAATAAATAAATAACTTTATGGTCTGTCATTTTAACTATTCAAAATTAGAGATACACTTGAGAAATTAAAAAATTGTTAAAAGTACTTTGATCAAAATGAGTCTTTCAAGAGTATATTTAGCCAATTTTAATTTTAAAAAAAGGTGCGGCCTAATTTTTAAAATAAAATAATAATAATAAAAGTTTGAGTGATATTGGCCCCGTTTGGTAGAGTTGTGAGAAAGTGATTATGGCCAAGTTTGGCATAATTGAAAAAAGACAAAAAGTCAAAAAGTCACTATCCTATTTAAGTCACATCATCTTATTTAAGTCACATCACCTCTCTAACACATCACTTCAAACCCAACCCAAACCCAACCCATATTTCATAAAAAGTCAAAAAGTGCACTTATTTAGTCTTCCCAAACTAGGCCTATAATTTATAACTTAACAGCTTATAGCTTATAACTGTAAACATAAGCTGATTTTTGACTTATAAATTAAGTTTCTGCTCCTTCATTCAAAGAATAAGTTGATTTTTGACTTACAAAAAGTTATAAACTGTATTGTTACGCTGAACCAAACATATCAAAATAACTTAAATTAAACTAAAAACTGAAATAAGCTGAAAATAAACTCTACCAAATAAGGTCATTATTATGTAGGGACTTTTGGAGACACCAAGACTTAACCCTTCAAGTTGATAAAGAGTCCAATAAAAATAAATAAATTATACGAATTCAACTTTCCTTCCGATTCAAATATATATATATACACACATATTGAGTCCCTTTAAATTTAGCATAATTATAATGAGTACTTTTAAAGTTTTCATCCACATAATTTTAATTCATTTTAATGAGTAATTGATCAGTCATATAAACGGGAAAAAATGATGCCAACATCTTCATCACGCTCAAATGTATATTTTAAGGGTTGGTTTGGCAATCACTTAGGTTTCGTTTGACAATTTTTAATTTAAATTTAAAAGTCAAAAAATTATTTAAAAAGCCAAAAAAAACAAATCAATTATATATAAAAAAAATCAAAAATTCTATTTTCTTTTTATTTATTGCACATTTTTTCGTAAAAAGTTAAAAATTCAATCCAAATATAATAATTTTTTTACCTTATATTTTAGTTAGAAAATCAAAAAATTACTAAAATAACTTGTTCCCAAACGAAACCTTATATAGAAAAAAAGCCATTACCAAAAAGTTAATTATTCTTTTTTATTTTTTTTGTATGTCTTTTCATAAAAAAATTAAAAAAACTAACGTTAGTAGCCAATTCTCAAAACGATACACTATTTGCATTTTGGGGACAATAAAAATAATTTTTTTATTGACTTATCAATTTATTTCTATTATATATCACCTTTGTACCTTTTTATACGTCTTTTCGTAGTAAGTAATAAAAATAATTCATAAGTCATATCCAAAATAACCTTTAACCAAACTAAGGGTTGTTTTGGGAAGTTGGTAAAAAATTAACTTTTGGCTTTTTATCAAGCTTTTTGGCTTTTTTAGAAGTGATTTGGGAAGTTGGTAAAAAGTTGACTTTTTGCTTTTTAGTTTAATATTTATTTATAGTGTCAAATCAAATTAAAATGACCAAAATACCCTTACCCAACGTAAGAGAGTTATTTTTTTATTTATTTTTCATAGGCCCTAATTTGTAATTTTAGGGCTGTGTTTTTGGCACTTGCCAAATGGCTTTTTGGCGTTTTTGGAAGCCACGTTTTTGGACATTTTGTCTAAAAACGTGACTTTTTACCATGTTTCCAAAATGGCACTAAAGAAAGTTTAGTACAATAATATTAATTTATGGAACTTATTGTAATTTTTTCTTTTACATTAAGAATGATTAGTGTAATTTATCACCAAAAAAAAAACTACTTTAAAAAAAAAGATAAAATACATTGACCTTCCTCGATTTAATAAATTTTTAAATTAATTTCTAATTACACTGAATTTTTCTTAAGTTTAATAAAATTGTACAAATTTCTAAAATCACATAATAATTTCTATAATTTTATTAAAGGGCAATGGCCCTGTTTGGTACAGCTTAATTTCAGCTTATTTCAGCTTTCAACTTAATTTAAGCTATTTTGATGTGTTTGGTTTAGCTTATAGCTTATAGCTTATAGCTTTGTGGAAGTCAGAAAACAGCTTATTATTTGAGTGGGGCAGGAGATGCTTTAAGAATAAGCTGGAAATCAGCTTAAGCTGAAAGTTATAAGCTATAAGCTGTTTAGGCATAAGCTATAAGCACTTTCCCACAGCTCTACCAAACAGGGCCAATAACTTGTCAGTGAAATTTAAAATAATAATAATAATAATTACAAAAAAATAGTAAATATTAATAATTAAAATTATAAATTTTTAACTAATGTGTAATAATTGTTATAGACTTCCATTTAAAGGTAATTTCCCCTTTTATTAAAGGGAAATTATAGGATAATGGTACTTTGTCAAAAAAATTACAAATTTATAAAAAAGAATTATAATTTTAATAATTAAAATTTATGAATTTATAATTATTTTTCAAAATATCATTTATTTGTTATTTTTCTAACTAAATCTGAGAGGAGATATTAGTTATTATTATTAAATGAAAAAGGAATATATGTTTTAAGGCCTTATTTGTTTCGCGGTTTAAGTTAGAGGTGTACACGGTCCGGATTGGTTTGGTTTTGAGAAAATCTAAGAACCAAACCGATCCTAACGGTTCTGTGATTTTGAGAACCAGACCAGACCGTTACACTTGTAAAACCGGACCAGAACCAAACCGAAAAATAAAATTCGGTTCGGTTCGGTTCGAACCGCGATTTTTTCATAAAATTCATTAACCGAACCGTTTTTACGATTCTCATATTTCTTAATCCGAAATCGAACCAATTCTTAATGGAACCGAACCAAACCGTATGATTCGGTTTGGTTCGGTCCGGATTATCAGTTTGAACGGATTTTTGAACAGCCCTAGTTTGAGTGATCAGATTTGACTATCATGACTGTGGGTCTCACCCAAGACATGTTTGATAGTGAAATGAGAGGCCAATTGATAGCCCAATGGGCTTAGTAATCTCCCTCACTAAGGAGATTAATTTAGCTAGGTTTTATGTAGGATTAAGAAATAAGAAAGAGATTGAGTCTATTTTATATATAAAAAAAAATTACCAATTGCACTTGCTTATTTTAATATTTATTTTAATTTTTTTAATATAAAAATTATTTATTTATTTATTTATTTTATGTAAAAAATAATTTAATAATTTCATTACTAAGGCCTCGTTTGGGAACATACTAATTTAGTAACTTTTTGGCTATTTACCTAAAATATGAGCTAAAAAATATTAGTATGTTTGTGATGACTTTTTAACTTTTTACGAAAAAATATGCAAAAAATAAAGAGAAAAGAGAATTTTTGACCTTTTAGTATGAGTTGTTGGTTTTTTACCTTTTTTGATACCTTTTTGAATTTTAACTAAACGGGCTGGTTCTCAAGCGAGGCCTAACTATGTCTTATATTATCATCAAAATAAACATATTTTTATTTAATTCCCTCATTAATAATTTTTACATTAATAATATTTTTACTAACTATTCTTTCATAAATAATTATATCCAACTTAATCCGTCAAAATGAAAATAACATAAATGAGTTGTTAAAAATGGGGGGAGTGGTCCGTACGATTTGGAAGACGTCCCATCAGTCGTACACGATGGACCAATGAGAAACCGAACAGATGCTCTGCTGATCTATCATTCATCTCACCACATGAGGCTTTTCTCCGAATGGGGCTTGCATTGCAGACCCCACTTCACATGCTCATGCTCTCTCTCTCTCTCTCTCTCT